TTGATTCCGGCAGAAGCAGTTTGTGAGGATATTTTTGATCGATTTTGGTACATGATTAGATTGTTGTTTGTGTGGTGGTTGAAGAGGGGATTGATAGCTTCACAATGGTATATAAATCCGACCGTTTTGGAAGAGGTTGGCTGGAGTTTAGAGGGTTGGAAGGTGGAGGTGGCGGTGGCAGTGGCGGTGGAGGTGGCGGCAGAAAAGAGGGAGGAGACATTTTGGGGAAACATGGCTGTTTCCCATGTTTTCTATTTTCTGATATGTTTGTGAAGAAAACGCCCAAAACGGCTCAACCGTTTTGCGTTTTCTTTACATTTTTTTTTTCGTTTTCCAAAATCTGATTTCGAAAATGATAAAGAGAACGCGTTTTCATTGTTTTGAAAAATCGAAATCAGAAAACGACCCAAAACGGCCAAAGAGAACAGCTCCTAATTGCCTAGAAATTGTTTTGCAGGGAATTGTTAATTTAGTGTGTTTGATTGATATAATTTTCCACCCGGAAAATTTTTAAATTTTGTATTCGTTTGACTTTATTTTACATGAAAATTGTCCATTACGCCAGGTTAGAGAAGTGTTCAACATAATTGTGCGCAACAGGACTGAGGTTCTTGACTCTATTGGACGAGCAAATAGTCGCGATTGATACAATATGAACAGAGGAGATTGTCCGTGAGCACCTAAACTGGAACTTCCAGACGTTCTTATTGTTTTGTTTTTCTTAGATTAAGTTAAGAAACAAAATGATGGTAGACGATGCGCCTGGAATAAAAGGGTTAAAAAGATTATCTCTTGCATTTTCTCATGATATATCATGTAAAAAAGATAGAAAAATGATTGGACATTCTTCGGTCCAAGATATTGTTATTCATCCTTCGTTGCCATTATTGAATTCAACAATTCCACATTTAACGGTTTGTTCAACTCTGCACTAAGATGTATACCTACACCCAGCAGTTGTACCAGGGTTTGAGTTTGGAAACGCAGGACTTGATATGTGGATAGTTCATTTCACTGAATAGCTGCTTTCGTTTTCTTGCTATGGTACGACTACTTACTGTACTAATAGATGTTCATTAATTAAATTTTTGGTTTTGTTGATGTATGCAATTTTGCACGAACAGATTCTGTATGGAGTTGCTAACCCTTCAAGTTTCTGGATTATGCTAATGCATGCCCAACACAACTCGTGTTTCTTGGTAAGCAGGAAGTGATAATATTTGCAATTTGTTTCATTGTTGTTACTTGAACATGCCAGTTTTCCAAGTGCCCCAATAAGAAGGGCACGGTTTCTCCAATCTTTTTGTATCTGAACTTTTCTACAAGAAAGGGATTTCGATTCCTGAACTGTTCAGGTATTGATGCTTTTCTGAAATTGGTACGTGGCGACTTATTAATCAGCAGGAACTTAACCTGCTGAGAGTGTCCTCCATTCAAGACCCCTTGGGTTGGAAGGTGAAGGAGAGACTGCATGAATCACAACTGATGTGAGCACACTATGAGAATGGGACTAAAGACCAATGGATGAAGAAAAAGATGAGGAATCTTGAGAATCCATGTGTGTAGCTCGGGGGTCCTATGGTACTTCAGAAAAGCAAAGGTCAGTGGACATGGATATGCTATGTGCATAGAGAGTTTGAGCATAAGAAGTGATATCAAGGAGAGTGCATGAACCCCAAATGATTTGAGAGATCGTGAGAATGGGACGAAAGACCAATGGACGAAGAAAAATATTTGGAATCTTGAGAAGCCATGTGCGTAGCCTAGGGGGTCCTAAGGTACTTCTGAAAAGCAAAGGTCAGTGCAGTTGACATGGATGGATAGGCCATGTGCAAAGATATAGTTTGAGCGTGAGAAGTGATATCGAGGGGAGACTTGCATGTGGAATTACTTGAAATTTCAAGCTCTACACTAGAATTCACTGTTTTCTCATTTCTTGTACTTCCGTAAGAAAAATAGACTTTTGTTACTTTGAATCTACTCAGTAGCATGTCTGGCTAATATGATAACATCAGTAATATAAATTGATGTTTAGTGTACCCCAAACTCGTAACAAAGCCTATGTTTGGCTCATGTTTATAAATACAATTATGATAGTTGTACATTCAAAATGTACATTAAGATTGACAATGTGTGCTGTGTCAAAATCTGTGTCATTGATTGTTAAAATTAATGTATAAAAAGTTGTCACACAACATCACACTTGATGTTAAACTTTGATATACATGTAGCAAGATTGTTATAAATATTTCGATTACTTTTTATTCACATGTTTCGAAGGATTCATAAATACTATCTATTCATCTTAGCATTCATTTTTATATATTTATAATTTAAGTCATTTATAAACACTTTCCAAACATGTCATATGCTAGCATATACAAATAGTACAAAAATGTCCACTTAAATTTAGGGTTTGGGTATTGGAGCAAAACGTCCCTATCTTTCGTTTTTTGGCGCATAACGTTCCTACCTTTCACATTCTTTGCGCTGAACGTTCTTTTTATCAATTTTTAACATAAAATGACCATTATATCCTCTTATATAAACAAAACAAAAAAGAAAAGAAAAATAAAGAATAAATTGCAATATGCTCCTAAACTTTTTTAAAAATGCAAATCAGTCCAAAAAAGTGGCGATTTTTTGCCATTTTTTCAGCCTAAATGCGTCCAAATTCCAGCAACATCCGGCCACCCAAGCCATCAGACGTTGACACTGGTCAACAGCCATCTAATTCCCCCTTCAATTACCACCCAACCACTCCCGATTTTATCAACTGTAGTGGTCGGAATTAATGCTGAAAATTCACGGTCCTCAAATCTAAAAATCGTTGAAAATTACATTCCGACCACCCCTATGATCGAAACTCGCCTCCTGTCAATTGCCTATCACTAGAGGACCACACCCATGCCAACAATTTACAACAAACATCAACAAAAAAAAAAAAAAAAATTTCATGCCAGATTCTTTGCCAGTCGCGACACAGCCTGCGAACTTCTTGAATTTCAGCGCCGTCCGGAACACCCATGGTAGCGGACCACCTGGGCTGGGTCCCTCTTCATCAGGCGCACCTAGCCCAATCATGGGTCTAGGTTAATTTCGACCTGAAGCCGTTTAATTCGTGGGAGAAATACTATGTTCTAAAAATTGTAATTGGATTTCGACATGAATTTCTAACGAATCCAGACAAAATTATGGAAGACCCATGAGTGGAATAGTTCGCCATGATGAGAGGGTGCTGAATGGGGTGGTCCGCGACCATGGGTCAAAGGGACGACGCCGAAATTGCCAAGTTCAGTGTGCGGCGCGATAGTCGCGACTGTGTTATTTTTCAGTTTCAAATTGAACATATTGGATAAGTGTTAAGAATTAATTGCCCACATGGCTGAGGTCGTCCGCAATCCTGTTGCTAGCCAGAGGTGTGACTTCCAGCAATTTGTCCATTTTTCGAGAAACTAATTTTGCTTGCTGATTTCTACTGGATTATTGGATGATATGGGAAATTTTTGGGATGGAATTGTAAAGGGTGTTGAGGAGATTGTGTTGGTACCAATGTCCGTAGGTTGTGGCGATGGAGAAAAGTAGATGCAGTCATCAGACGGTGGAGGTGATGGGGGAGGTAGAGGAGAAAAGAGAATGTGTTTTTGTTATTTGTAATGTTTTCATAAATTTTGAACTGATTTGCATTTTAAAAAAAGTTTAGGAGTATATTACAATTTATTCTTTATTTTTCTTTTATTTTCTTGTTTGTTTTATTTATATAGGAGGATATATTGATCATTTTATGTTAAAAATTGGTGAAAATGACGTTCAACGTAAAAAATATGAAAATGTGCCAAAAAATGAAAGGTTAAAACATTTTCCATAAAAACCTTCAAATGTAGAGACGTTTTGCGCCAATTACCCTAGGGTTTGTTTAAACCCTATTGTTTTGAAAAAATAAAATATAGACTTTGTAATAGCTATTTATGGATTATATATGATTAGATAGTAATGGAAAAATTTTGAATTTGTGTGTAAAATTATATTATTAAAAAAATATGTTACTGAATATAAGTAGGAGGAAAAAAAAAATTCAAAGAATGAATCTATATTATTAAATACCAAACGTAGAACTGGATGCCAGGAATAGCAGCGGTTTTTTCAGAAAAAAAGATGAGAGTAACAGCACGAAAAATACAGTATCAAAATGGACCAGAGTGCGATAAGTATTATCAAAATGGTTAGTATTTATAAATTGAAAAATACTTCTTGTAATTATCATTTACATAATTTTTTACAGATTGATGAAGGGTGCCAAATATATGAGAATTTTTTTATTTGATTAATGATATTTTAATTCAATCAAATCTCGCCACATCATCTGTTAATAAACTAATATAAACTAAATAGTATATCTAATATAATGTTACACAATTCTTTATACAGCCGTCTAATTTGCTGCTCCAAACACAGCCTAAAAGTTTATTTTTAAGAAACATGAACTTGAAAAAATTGAAGAAAAGACGGGTAAAGAAAAAAATAAATAATATTGCTGATACACATTAGCATACTTCTGAAGTAGTCAATGTCAAAAAGTCCAAACGATATCATAGCGTAAACATAATATAGCGCGGGCACAACGTAAGAAAGGACCATCATAAGCCATTAACTGAAATGATACAAGAAGCCATTACAATCCCCTCTCCCCTTACATCAGCACCAGGGAATGGGCTAATAATTAAACTTATCTTCACTCTCCCCTTACATAAATTTCATTGCAAATATTCCAATTATATTCTCTCCTATATGCTATTTCAGTCGGATGTTGAATTGGACAGACCTGAATAGTATAATAGAGAAGATTTTAACTTCACTCACTCTTCAATAAAAATCCCACAAAAGTAAATTATTATAAAAGCTAAAAATTGAAATGAAGAGAGGATTTGAGATGAAATTGTTACTACGGCAGCGACGCCATGGCAGAGGTGATCAAGAAAGACAGATGCACCTCCATTGATTTCAGAAATGAGGAAAAAGGGGAAAAAGAGGCGAACAAGGGAAATTAGGGTTTTAGTCGACTGCACGCGAAGGTAATTGTTTCAATTACCTCAGACTTTCTGCAATTTGTTGCTACGGCAGCGACGCTCATCGAGAGACAGAAGAGAGAACGACAGCGATCACAGTTCATGCAGAGAGAACAGGAGAAAATGAAAGGGCTCACTTGCGACTGAAAAGGCCAAAAACAAAATAAGGAGCAAAAATCGCTAACGCGACTGCACGAATACCGATTACCTTTTCTTTCACTTCCGTGCACCTCCATTTGCTCCTGAGGAAGAAGGCTACTGCAGTAATTGAAGAAAGATTCAGAGCCCTTTGCTCTAAATCTAAGAAGAAAGATAACTTTTTCAGTGGGGAAATGAGGAAATATGGTTCCGTGTAGGGAAAAACTCTAATGTCAGAGAAAAAGGAAATTGCAGTAAAAGGAGAAGGAATGATGGACAACTACAACTTTTGGGCCTCAAAAGGAAACGGCTCGGCCATAGCAGCTCAACCAGCTCGGAGTGGCTTCTGATTGGCCAAAAGGCTTAGGAACAGTGACACCAAAGTCACTCTTTTATTTATGTAGGGATAATTTAAGTCATTTATAAACACTTTCCAAACATATCATATGCTAGCATATACAAATAGTACAAAAATGTCCACTTAAATTTAGGGTTTGGGTATTGGAGCAAAACGTCCCTACCTTTCGTTTTTTGGCGCATAACGTTCCTACCTTTCACATTCTTTGCACTGAACGTTCTTTTTATCAATTTTTAACATAAAATGACCATTATACCCTCTTATATAAACAAAACAAAAAAGAAAAGAAAAATAAAGAATAAATTGCAATATGCTCATAAACTTTTTAAAAAATGCAAATCAGTCCAAAAAATGGCAATTTTTTGCCATTTTTTCAGCCCAAATGCGTCCAAATTCCAGCAACATCCGGCCACCCAAGCCGTCGGACGTTGACACTGGTCAACAGCCATCTAATTCCCCCTTCAATTACTACCCAACCACTCCCAATTTCATCAACTGTAGTGGTCGGAATTAATGCTGAAATTTCACTGTCCTCAAATCTAAAAATCGTCGAAAATTACATTTCGACCACCCCCGTGATCGGAACTCACCTCCTATCAATTTCCTATCACTAAATGACCATACCCATGCCAAAAATTTACAACAAACATCAACAAAAAAAAAAATTCATTTCATGCCAGATTTTTTGCCAGTCACGACACAGCCTGCGAACTTCTCAAATTCTGGAGCCGTCCAGAACACCCATGGTCGCGGACCACCTGGGCTAGGTCCTTTTCACCAGGCGCTCCTAGCCCATCCATGTGGCTAGGTCAATTTCGACTTGAAGCCGTTCAAGTTGTGGGAGAAATACTATGTTCCAAAAATTGTAATTGGATTTCGACTGGAAGTTCTAACGAATCCGACAAAATTATGGAAGACCCATGGGTGGAATACTTTCGCCATGATGAGAGGGTGCTGAATGGGGGTGGTCCATGACCATGGGTTAAAGGGACGACGCCGAAATTGCCAAGTTCAATGTGCGGCGCGATAGTCGCGACTGTGTTATTTTCAATTTCAAATTGAACATATTGGATAAGTGTTAAGAATTGATTGCCCACATGGCTGAGGTCGTCCGCAATCCTGTTGCTAGCCACCAGCAATTTGTCCATTTTTCGAGAAGCTGATTTTGCTTGCTGATTTCTGCTGGATTATTGAATGATATGGGAAATTCTTGGGATGGAATTGTAAATGGTGTTAAGGAGATTGTGTTGGTACTAATGTCCGGAGGTTGTGGCGATGGAGAAAAGTAGATGCGGTCATCAGACGGTGGAGGTGATGGGGGAGGTAGAGGAAAAGAGAGAATGTGTTTTTGTTATTTTTAGTATTTTCATAAAATTTGGACTGATTTGCATTTTTAAAAAAGTTTAGGAGCATATTGCAATTTATTCTTTATTTTTCTTTTCTTTTCTTGTTTGTTTTATTTATATAGGAGGATATATTAGTCATTTTATGTTAAAAATTGGTGAAAATGACGTTCAGCGCAAAGAATGTGAAAATGCACCAAAAAATGAAAGATAAGGACGTTTTCTATAAAAACCTTCAAAGGTAGGGACGTTTTGCGCCAATTACCTTAGGGTTTGTTTAAACCCTATTGTTTTGAAAATATAAAAAATAGATTTTGTAATAGCTATTTATGGATTATATATGGTTAGATAGTAATGGAAAAATTTTGAATTTGTGTGTAAAATTATATTATTAAAAAAATATGTTACTGAATATAAGCAGGAGGAAAAATAATTTTTTAAAGAATGAATCTATATTATTAAATACCAAACGTAGAACTGGATGCCAGGAATAGCAGCGGTTTTTTCAGAAAAAAAGATGAGAGTAACAGCACGAAAAATACAGTATCAAAATGGACGAGAGTGTGATAAGTATTATCAAAATGGATATTATTTATAAATTGAAAAATACTTGTTGTAATTATCATTTACATAATTTTTTACAGATTGATGAAGGGTGCCAAATATATGAGAATTTTCTTATTTGATTAATGATATTTTAATTCAATCAAATCTCGCCACATCATCTGTTAATAAACTAATATAAACTAAATAGTATATCTAATATAATGTTACACAATTCTTTATACAGCAGTCTAATTTGCTGCACCAAACACAGCCTAAAAGTTTATTTTTAAATAATATTGCTGATACACATTAGCATACTTCTGAAGTAGTCAATGTCAAAAAGTTCAAACGATATCATAGCGTAAACATAATATAGCACGGGCACAACGCAAGAAAGGACCATCATAAGCCATTAACTGAAATGATACAAGAAGCCATTACACTCCCCTCTCCCCTTACATCAGCACCAGGGAATGGGATAATAATTAAACTTATCTTCACTCTCCCCTTACATAAATTTCATTGCAAATATTCCAATTATATTCTCTCCTATATGCTATTTCACTTCTACAGTAACTGCTTTCAAGACTAATGATCGGCATAAATAACTTATTCAACCCAGAGTGCATGTTTCGGATGTTGAATTGGACAGACCTGAATAGCATAATAGAGAAGATTTTAACTTCACTTAACTTATTCAACCCAGAGTGCATGTTTCGGATGTTGAATTGGACAGACCAGAATAGCATAATAGTGAAGATTTTAACTTCACATTCTTTTATAGTATTGCCTAGTGCTATCCAATTATCTTTGTCATGCAAATAAAGGCTTTTTCAGACACAATGCTTGCTTCTTCACCTTGCCCAACTGTTGAGAGCGGCATTTCAATATCTTCATATGTTGTGCACCAGAATCTGATTACCACTGCGTGGAACGAACTCTCCGAAGGAAACGTGAAGGTCTTCGCTTCTCCGTGATAGGGATCACATTCTTCATTAGCTGCATGAGAAAAATTAATAGCTACAATAACATTCATTTCCACCCAACAATTTCACATTACACTCCTAGTTGATCTATCCATCGGTTGATGTTTTGCAGTAGAGAGACAATAATTTGCAGACAACCATGAAAAATTCAAATATTTTGCTATATTGAGCCTGTTTGGAAGAAATTTTTGGGGAAAAAATTGATTTTGAATAGTGATATGATGGGAAATGTGTGGTTGAAAAAGAAGAAAAAATTATTGATGTGATGGAAAATATTATTTTATTGAAGAATGTGTGGTTGAAAATGAGAATTGATTTACTNAAAAATTTATTGATGTGACGGAAAATATTATTTTATTGAAAAATGTGTGGTTGAAAATGAAAAATTAATTTACTATACAAAAATTTAATCCCTCCCAAACAGGGCCATTATGTTGTGCCTATAAGCTTATGACAGTCGAGTAAAAACTGTCTCCCAAACACAAACTAGGACAAAATTTAAAAAGTAAAATAACTCATTTTCAATTTTGATCAAAAGTGGTCACTCGTGTCAAATCTAGGCCTGGACATAGTTCAAGTTGGGTCGGTTTCAACCCCAACCGAAACTTTGGATAAATTCCAACCCAAACTAAATCGGTTTGGCACGGTTCGGTTAGTCAATTTTGTCTCTTGCCTAAACTGAATTTAATAAATAAATAATTAATTAAAGCTTTTGGGTCCAATTTGAGTACACCTAATATTTTTTTATTTTATTTTTTTATTTATTTTTGTGCAATTAACACAAATCCATAACACGTTATTAACGCACAATTTTGCAATTAACACAAATCCATAACCTATAAGCGGTAAGCGGAAATAAAGTAAATTTATACCCTGTTTTTAACACACAATTTTACTCAAAGTAATGCACCAGATTTTACAGCCATTGTACACCAGAAATCAATAAACTTGAAAGAGCTAAAACATGCAGTACTTAAAAATTGAAATTTGAAATACTATTTCATTACCTGTAACTAAAGCAAAATAAATAACAAATATTACCCATACTTATGAAGCCAAGAAAACTCTGTTATTTAGTTCCAACTTCCAAACATAAAACAAAGAACTAATCATTATTTTATTGGATGACTTATTGACGTGAAATCCATATTTTTTATGAAAAAAATCCAAATTAACAAACTCCCATGGAAAAACAAATTCAAGATTAAGAAATTGAACATAAATATTAATGAAATACAAGGAATTAATTTAACAATTATTTCTACACTTAAATCAAATTAAAAACTCTAACCGTCTCCCATTTGAAATGTTGAACCTCTAGTACGTCAAGAATATGTATTCAATAAATGGAGAGACAACCAGTAAGGGAGACGGTATGGACAAGGACAACAGTTTCAAACTATGAAGGCAATTAGATTTTGATAGTTTTCACTTTTCACCTTTTTGGGACCACAAAGAAGATGAAAAGATAACTACGTATTGACTTTTGATTTATTTAAGTGTCTGTCTGGTTTTACTATTTTCATGGATTAAAAGCAAGAATATGGCCAATGGAGGAGACAGCTAGGACCCAACCCTGAGAGAGGGGGTCAACAATGGTGGGCTACAACAGGCAAATAATTGGTTTTTCTACTTCCAGAAGAGCACCCAGACAAGGCTTAAGACCCAGACAAGGCTTAAGTTTTAAGCTAGGCTCTAATCTAGTAAATGCAATATACTAAAAACTGGGAACTCTAAACAAACCTTTAAAAAATAAAAACTGTGAACTCTAAAAACTGCACTAAAAACTAGATATATATATGTTTGAAAGGGCAATTTCACAGGTTAATAATATTCTTTACATTTTCCAGAAGTCATCAGATAATCATATAAAGCTATGTACGTACGACATGTACCGTGTTTTTTATTACTAACTTTCCCGGTTAGTTTCGCCTTAATTTTCATCAACTTTCCAACATGATATTTCATTCCTTCTACATCGGAATTCGATAATTGCCAACAAATGATTGACCTACCTTCTACTGACTTCTACCTCCCAACTACCTACATAGCAAACCTGTTTCCCATATCCTCTGCTTTACAATGTTTCACCACCAAGCCAACAATATTCAACTTCCTGGTATCTGGATTACAGTTAGCTTCCACACAATTACCTTTGATGTCACCACAGCATCCAGTTCCTCTAAATCCTCATTTCTTCATCCTCTCACCTCATAGCTCCTTAAATCCATGCCTTTCTTGCTTACCTCCCATATAAAATTGAACAACAGCTATCATGCATCAAAAGCCTTATTGCCATATTTAAATGCATATTCCTGAATTTTCTTTTAATAATAGTCTATCAACCCCTTCTTTCACATAAAACAAAGAATTCAAAAATTTCTAGAGACTACAGTGTCATTCTTTTGCCACATGATGGTTACAGTGGCATTCTTTTTCCACATGATGGGTGAAAATAATAATACAGTAATAAGAGACTGTCTATACACCCCACGATATTCCCTAGAAAATCAAATCTACACCATTTTCTTCTTTAGTAATGGGGAGACTACCTATACATGATATTACCAAATCATGTCCCACAGATATTTATTCCCTAAAGATAGATATACTGGATCATCAATGATAGGACGTGCAAGGGTCAGATAGAGCACAAGTCACATACTACATGATAACTTTAAGCTTAATTCTGTAAATAACCTGCATTCTACTAACCATTTTAAATTGAAAAGGCAATGCAAACTGCAAGAGGTAAACATCTCCTTGTTACAACTTAATTATAACCCATCCACCACCGCCCCAAATAAAAAATAAGAAAAAAAGAACGGCAACCTTAAAATGTAAATCCTTACTTCCAGTGCTGTAAAATACGCCAACTGATTCCTCTTATGTTTCATTCTACACTCATTGTGGAAGATGAAAAAGCAAACAATTATGCCCCGTTTGGTTTGCGTTTCAATTTTCAATTATTAGTTTTGAGTTCATTTTCACTTTCCTATTGTGGGCCTTAAGATTGCCAAAATCGTGTTTGGTTTATTATTCTATAAACTGTTTGTAAAAATAGAAAACTGAATAACACATTAGGTTCGAAATGTTGAGAAATTATTTTATGACATTTTATTTCTAGAAATTTGATTATTCATTAAAACAGAACATTTTTATGTTAATATATTATCAAGTAATATATATTTTAAAGTTGGTGGAATATAGTTTTTATTTTTCTAGAATTTTTTAGAATTTCATTTTTTCAGAATTTTTATTTTTTCATTTTTTAGAACCTAATTTTAGAATTTTATTTAAATAAAGTTTTATTTAAACACTCATTTATCATGTTTTGAGTGTTTTTAGCATTTTCACTTAAAACACTCAAAAATCAAAAATATGTTCCGAGTTTTATGTTAAACGTTTTAACCTTATTTTCAAAAATACCGGACCAAACACATTTTGGGTGTTTTGCAAAATTGAGACCCAGGTTGAAAATAGCAAACCAAACGCCTCCTTAGATATTAAACCGATAAAAGACAACAGCCGAGCTCCTACACGCTACTCACTATATGAACTCTAGTTGCTTCATGCTTGTCATGATAAAATTCAAGCACAGTCTACGTTTAGAATCTTTAGATATTAAATGACCAAGCACTCGTGCAACCCACATATTTTTTTAAACAATTCAGTTTCAAATTGAATTCACTTGGCAATTGTTGACAGACATATCTTGCACTTCATAGTATTAACTTGACAATAGTGCAGCATCTGCACAAATGTCATGTGTTATTTCCTAGAAGTAAATTATATTTTTAGCTTGGGGTAAAGTTGAAGTTTCTCCCTAACTGAAATAATAGCAAATTTGTCTTTTTTTGTGTACACATCCATCATTTGTTACAACTAATTCAAAGCAGTCCCAAAATAGAGTGAAGGAACCATTGATGGAAAAGGTTAGGCAGCCTCTTGATAAGTGGGTAAGTGAAAATGCTTAGTAAAAGTGCCAGATAAACTTCATTATTATTTCACATTCAAAACTACTCCATTTGGGAAAATTTATAAATCATTTATATATGGTCAAACTTCATTTCAACCAAATATTTCAATGGACCTAGAAGTACAAATTATTTATCCACCACTCATTTTTATCTATTTTTTAATTAAACCACCTACAATTTTTTTTTTCCAAATGGAGGCTAAATAATGTCCTCAGATGTGATGACATTGATAGATACAAGATTATAGGACAATATAGTGGAAAGCAAATACCTGTTTAAGCCTCTCCTTTGTCCGCTCTGCCTGGAATTGGAAATTTATGAAAGTATTAGAGAGTTGAATCACACGAAGATTCTAGATATATAACAGGTACTTAAATAACAAATAATTAAGAATGGAAGGCATTAATACCAGAAAATCTAAGGATGTTACATCATATTACATTATGATAACATAGGTATGAAAATCAACTAAAGGTCAAGAGAATTTTTAAAAAAGAACATACTACTACTTTACTATCATAAAGCTACCAAATATTTATGTTCCTCGGACTCGGGTACGGGTATGTATCTAAGTGTCGGATCCATTATTTTCTAAAATATAGGATACGGGTATATAGCTAAAAAAAGTCCAAATTTTGGACACGGGTATATGAGTACATCTTTCAAACTTTAAATTTTTTTTTTTTAACCCTAGATGTCATTTTAAACACATCAAAATCAATACTTCACAAAGAAGAAAATGAGTATTGAATAAGATATTAAAACGAATAAAATGAAATTTTGGGGTTTAGTTTTCAATTGTGGAAAGTTAATTACTAAATGTTATATAAAATAGAAAATAAGAGATTTGATTATCATTTAAACTTAATGGAATACTAAGTTGCACTATATAGAACCCATTTTTATTTCATAAAAAGAAAACCCTAAACTATCAATACAGAGAGGAGATAAGGAAAAATAAGAAGAAAAGGAAAAGATAGAAGAAAAAGAAGGAAAAATCTTGTGCCGTCGCCGAAGAAGAAAAGGGGAAGGAAAAAAAAGAAAGAAGCAGAAATGACGAAATGTTCGGTTGAAATTTTGAGAATCTGACACATATCTCATACCTATACCCTCTGTAGCACAAATACTTCAATTAGGGTAGCGTGTTCGTATCCGACACGTGTCGGACACTAGTCAATACCGACACTTCTTAAATACTCTACCACAATTATTTTTCTTTTTATATTGAAAATATTATATATTGTTAATTCAAAGTTATTAGCAAGTATTAAATAGATACTCGTGTACCAAAGATTTCAACAAGAAAAATTAATAACAAGTATAAAACTAAACTTATACTATATAAATGAAGAATTTTTAAGAATTTAATGAACGTATCGATGACGTGTCGTGTCTGTAATTTTTTTTAAAAATCGTATGTTGGCGTATCCGACATGTATCGTGCCAGACACACGTGTCCGCGTATCATAGCCTATACCTATGTCGTGTTGTATCCGACACGGGTACTTCGTCCATTTTGAAGAGTCCGAACATCATAGCCAAGTATAGAAAACCATTTACAGTAACAATCATGATCACATAAACTAGATTCTGATTTGAAATTTTAGGCAACTACCGAAGTTTAAATTTAGAAAGTGCGATTGTTAATTTGTTATATAGCATGCCACGAGGGCCATTAAAATTTGCTTCCTGACCACCTGATATTTAGTAACAGGAACTATGCAAGTGATCTTCAACAAAATAAATAAATAAATAAATAATAATAATAATAATTAAATGCCACTTCAAAGCTAATAACTTCACTATCTTAGTTGTATGTCCATTATTAGTTTAAAAGGCAATATTAACTTCCCGCCCNCATAAGAGCAACAGATAATATTATCAATGATTCAGTTCATAGTAGAAACCTCATTTGCCGACTATATAATGATTGCCTTCGAATATAATCATAAAAGCAACTTAGCAAATGTTAATTGAATCACATAATATATGTGCGAATGTAAATTAATAAGAAATATGCAGAATGATGCTATTTATTTGTTTAGCCATTATGATGAAACTAAAATCAAGACAGAAAATAATTATCTCATCATAGTATAGATAAATGAGAAGTGGTTACTGTGTATTTGCAGTACATGTGAATTGATGAGAACATGAGGGAAATGAAAAAAAAAAAAATCCAAGTTGTAAAGCAATTTCTTTTCTTTAACCAGGTAAAAAAGTGAAAAGTTATAGGTGTTGACTTCAATTATACAAAATGACACAAAGTAATTTGAAATTATGCCATGGTTTAGTACTTCAAATGCAAGGCAAAGATTATGATAACACAAGAGACTGAAATCCAACTCCCACTATTCTTGCTTCAAGTTATTTTTTATAGGAACTATTTTTTCTACTTTTCTGTTTAGTTAACATCATAGATCCACTTTTGGTACCTTTACTAAGGCACATGCATACATATGTATACGATATCTGCTCCATAGTTACATGGCATGGTACCGAATCAATAAAAGCACATAAAGTTCTGTAAAAAGATGACGTTGCGGAGTTTCAAAATCGCCTATAAAGTGCTGTTACACCCAATGGTAAAGATATACGTATTGTGTACACCAGTTGCCTCAATTCACAAAGAGCATGTTACACAAGTATATCCTGATAGACAATAACAAAGTAAATACTTTGATGTGTGGTTCTAGAGGATCATGCCACATAAAAAAAAGAGGAATTTAGACTATGGCAAATTTTTAAATGAAGCAGAATTTAACCAACAGCATGTCAAGGTGGATCAATAAAGATACCAAGCAATCAAAGGCACCCAGCAGACAATTAGAACTCAGCAGATACAAAACAATGTTTTTTAAGATAAAAAGGGCATTGTGATCGTATATTCTTGAACTCCAAAAATTAGCAGTCACGATTGAGCATTTCAAAAACAGTCCTGTAAACTTATATTCCAGGTGTATGTATTCATGAAGTATATCTTAATATTCATTGTTCAAATTACAAACTGGAGAAGATTTATATTACCTTCTCTTTCAAAAGCTGCTCATTCTCTTCCTCTAGTCTCACTGCCATTGACTCAAATTTCACTTGATAGGCCTAAAATCAAGCATAAAATTTAACCAGAAAACAAAAACTACCGTAACTCAAAGAACCAGAAGCAAAAAAAGAAAGGAATTTTTTTTTACCTGCTTCCGCTCTCTTGACCTGGCAGCTGACTCCCTATTCTTAATCATCCTCCTCTGCCTTTGCTGTGCCGCCTTATCCAAGGGTTCTAACAAGCTCAAGCTCCTCGGCTTTTGCTGTGGGAACTTATCCAACGGTTCTAACAAGCTCATGCTCCTCTTTCCTCTCCCTCTCCCGTTCCCAAAACCCCCAACATCCACCCCTGCCCCTAACCCGATTCCTATTCCCACCACCGGAGAATTATCGTGCCCGTAAACCCCACCAATCATAGTCTCCTCCTTCACCTCCATAGTCATTCCACCGGCCTCACCCTCTACGGCCCCTGCCTTCACCAAAAAATCCTCGAGAGTCATCATCTCCTGCTTGGGCACCTGTTCGGCTTGCCTCTTCTTTCCCGCCACAATCTCCCTCCACACATCATCCACCGTCTTCCTAATCGCGCGAGGGGGCTCCTCGTTCCCCACTTCACAATCACTAATCGGAGTCACAGCCCCGGCCGCATCCAACAACTTAATATCCGCATTCAACAAAGTACTAGAACTCTCCCCCTCCATAGCTGGGTCCCGATCCGGGCCCGGACTCGGGTCCGAGTCTGGATCACTATCCACGTAAGAATTTCTCAGGAAATCATCCAACCTCGTAGAAGAACCCGAAGCGCAAGCAGAAAGTTTTCTCTTAAGATCTGAATTCCGCGACGCCATCAGCTTCGACGATGCCATTAATTAACAAAAACGTCCCCCAAAATTATAATTATTAGTGGGATTTGATCAGAATCATCATAAGGTTGCCCCTTTTTATTATTTCTTCTGGGTAAGTGTGCGTGTATGAAAGAGAGAACGGTAGTGATGATTGTGTGTGTCAGCGTGCTTGTGTTGACACTCAACAGGCTTAGGGTTTTGTATTTCTGGTGATTTTGTGACGAGGAGAGAGAGAAATTCCGTTTTCTTTTGGGAGACAGGTCACTGGTGTTTGCGCATTATTTGGTGGAACTGAAGAACGTGCTTGGCCTCCCTTGGAGGAGTAATGCTAAACATTAGCAGGCTGGTCTATCTTGCCTATCGATGAGATGTTAAGACCACATTTTGTCACTTCTTTATTTCATGGACAAGATATCAGACATGTGCTATTTAGTACAATAAATACTAAAATATCGATTGATTAATTTAACTGGACTTATCTTGTAATGGTACGTAGATTAGATTGGATACGTTGAGTTCATTTTTTACGTCAAAAACAGAAAATTGAACTTATTTTCAAGTTATAAGTAACTCTTAACTAGGATTTAACTAAGTGTAATCTTTAAGAATTAGAACACATGTAGATTATCATATTAATTGAATAGGATTGGATTCTTGATGACAAAGGATCCCTAATGTTGTTAAGGCACAAAAGAAGGGATGGATTGGGACTCTTGTGCAGTTAGGGCGTTGGGCTGTGTTGCTAAGACCAGCGAAGGGGTTGCTAATAGCAACAACAGTCCTTAATCATTTCAGAGTGTGTTTGAGCCATATTTTTTTGAAAGAATGTATTTTATAATAGTAAATTGGTGGAGAATGTGTGATTGAAAAAGATGTTGCTAAGACCAGCGAAGGGGTTGGGGGCCCAATTCGTAACATGTTGGGATAATCGATATTAAATAGGAGGTCGTCACCTACTCCAGAATCAATGACAGGTCTAATCCTTGTGATCGGAGAACCTATCTCAATGAGTCTAAGCTTGAAAGATAATGGTATCATCAACCAGGAAAACCATCTTTTTCGAAAGTATCTTTTAACTACAACCAAAAGTCATCTTTAGTTTCTATTTTTGGTATGATTTTAAGTCCAAGTAAAAATGTAGCAAAATTGTTGTGTTTCATCTATGTTGTGTTTCATCTAATAGAAACAACAGTCCTTAACCATTTTAGAGTGTGTTTGAGCCACATTATTTTGAAAGAATGTATTTTATAATAGTAAATTGATGGAGAATGTGTGATTGAAAAAGAAGGAAAAATTATTGATGTGATGAAAAATATTATTTTATTGAAGAATAAGTATAAGAATGAAAATGAAAATTTTAATATGTCTCAAACAGAGGATCAATTTTTATAGACTTTATCATAACATTCAATTTGTTCCAACAAAAATCTCTAACATTTCAAAAATATGCAGTTAGAGTCCAAATAGAAGGAAACTATCAATTGACCAATAGTCAAAAGATTGACCACATTTTGACCAATTTTAAAAAGTTAAAATACTAAATTTATATTTATATAATAAAACAATTAAAATAAACTAAAATAATTAAATGAAAAATTGAAAAACCCAAACCTTGTTTCAGGAGTGCCTTTCTTCTTGACACAGAAAGGGATGTCGTGATGCAGTAGTCTACTCCGCTAGATTACCTTTCGTCTTTTCTCGGTCGTTTCGGGACGAATGAAAATTTGATTACAATTTATGAAAAGCTTGCAACATGAAATTGAAATGCATTAAATGTAAATTGATTATTGAGTACTTGAAAACTAGAAATTACAATAGATGAAAGCTAAGTGATAGGAGTAGACGTTTAAATTTTGAGGTTTCATACTAAACTTTTCCAATATCACATCTATTTTATAATTGAAATAAAATATTTACAATGTGTGGCCGAAGTTGGGAAAACTGCTACAGCGATTGGGTCAAGGGGCTAGTTGAAACTGCGATCCTTGACACTCTGTCACCCTTGTCCACCCCCAATCCCAAAACCAAACCCAGAAACAGATCCACCACCGGCACAATATCCTCACCGCCAACACTATCACTGAAATCGTTAGCCCACACATCACCGAAAAGCCCTCATTCCCCTCTACGCATTTCCACCCAAACTCCACCAGATGTCGCTGGAATAACCACCCAAAATCCCCAACTTGCGAACTCAAAAATTGCTCACAACTCTTCCTCCATTCACACCCACCTTTAGACCACCATTTTTTTTTTATGAAATTGGTTTCTTTTCGAGTTTCTGTAGTGTTGGTGCCTGGTGGTAAGATAAGGAATAGTAATTATGGTAGTGTAAATAGGTGCCGAGATGGTGGTTAGGTGATGACAATTTTTTGTTAGTTTTGATGTGTAGATTCTATGGTGGTAGTACTAAGGTTTAGGTGTGGTATTGGATGGTGGTTGTGGTGATAGACGGGACGGGATGGGAGAGGAGGGGAGGCTATGCCGATCGGTGGGTGTCGATGCTAATCGTTTATTTTTTTTCCTCTCTTTTCCTTTTTTAGTTTATTTTGTTTTATTCTATTTTTGGTTTTTAAATTATTTTATTTTATGTATAAAATAACAAATTTACCATTTTATCAATTTCAATTTAATCAAAATTAGTCAAAATTCACTTTTGTTGGTCAACTAACAGTCAAATCCATCTATGTGGACCCCAAAATGCATATTTTTCAAAGGTTATGGTCCTTCGTTGGCACAAATTGAAGGTTATGATAAAGTCTACAAAAATTAAAAAGTTTAAGGACTGTTGCTGCAAATTTTCCTAACAAGAAATTTTAAAGTTACTGTTTTTACTTGCAAAACTTCCTTCTAACTTTTAAACATAGTCAAACATGCTCACTTCATGTTCAATTCATTTTTCTTTGTGTAATGCTATTCATCAAGTGTTGTGATCATTACCGTCTTGACCATCTAATTCAATGTTCAATTAAACATAGTCAAACATGTTCACGGATAAGCTTAATGGTTATTTTGAGAAAAATGGGGACAACAGCCACCAATAAAGCAGGCACCAATAAATAAAGAGCATTGCTAGGGTACATCACCCCATACATAAGGGTCTACACCCCTCTCACATGGGGGGCGAGACCCGCTCGAATTAAAAAATATTATTTCAATGGGTCCCACCCCTTGTGAGGGGGGTGTAGACCCTTATGTACAATAGTTGATGTACAAATAGAAAATTCCATAAATAAAAGGTTGGAGATAACTGTGCCAAAATATAAAGATAGGACAAAAGTGCAAAAGATCCTGCAACAAAACATTAAACATGCATTCCCCAAAATATTGCCCCCCGATCAAAACACCAAGGTAAAGATGTATACAACTCTTACAAGCCATTGTCATAAATCATAATGTACAAGCCTAACATGTTCTAACCAAAATATATCAAGTAACTTTTGGTTACATTCGGAATTCTATCATAGTACATGTCCACTAAGGATGTAAACCGTAACAGATGCTCGACAAGAATGCTCCATACCTTAGGCAGTGGATGCTTAGCAGAATGAGATTCGTCGTGTCTTGGTTGGTGCATTCCATAGCTTCACATCGAGATAAATCTTTCTCCATGCCAATCTTTGGAAAGTGAGCTCCAAAATCGGCAACCTTAAAAGAGTCTGGCGGTGCAAGCCAACTAAACTCAATTGGATTTTCGATTGCTTTTAAGTAACTGCCTTCAGAAATAAGTGATCTCCAGACTTTTGATGTTATAGTGGAAATACAATTGTAGAATTGCCTGGTTATTTTCTCAAACTGCACATTTTGATCTTGACCGTTAAAACTTGCTTCAAAACTATCTACGAGACAACAGTCGGGGCATTTGGGAGTTAAAATGGATGATAATTCTGAATTAACTGTTCCTAATTTAAGGAACAAGTTCCAAGACGAGCATTTAGCAAAACTTAGCAATGATTCCCCTGCATTCTTCCAGGAATTTGCTACAGAAACTATGAAAGAAGATTCAAATGTAAAAAGATGGTGCGTCACTCCAGCATGCAATAAAGAATATGCAACACTTGTTCTGTGCATGTTGAAGGCTTCAAAATTATCTCCATCGATTCCAGAATCAAGAGCTAACAAATCATTTGCACGGACTTTATACATTGAAGCCAATGTGGCATAGGCATTCAAAGAAAGATGATGAAAGGGATGCAACTTCAATATTTGACGTGATTCTGCTTCCTTTGGTTCTAGCTGCTCAACAAAGTGCCCATGACTGAGCAAGTTTTCGAGCTTCTCACAACATGATTTCGGATCACCAAAGCATAGATAGTGATTAATAACATTGTCAATGAAATCCGTTAAATTCTCTATTTCTTCGTCTCTGTAGAGGTCATGATCAGAAATCTTTTCTAGACAATCGACTTTGACAGCATATATTGCCTGCATAGGAGACAACATAGAGAGTTATTACTTGATCAGAGTCACAAGGCTCATTAAAAGGTTCAAGGCATCATGATAAGAAAATCAAAGAGCTTATCAAGGGGATTGTTATGATAGCTAAAAGTTGTTGAAAGAATCAACTTAATACACTGGAGTTTTTTAAGAATAAAGGAGCCGATAGATTAATAGCGGCAACATACAAAGATATGTTTTGGATGAGACAGGATATAAGTATCAACAATTAATAGTCTAGGTAGTAAGTATCAACAATTAATGTTTTGGATGCCAAAATTATTGTTTCTGTAATTCTAACTCAGCTTTTATTTTTAGAACAACAGCCCAATTGTTACCAGCAAGCTCCACCAGCCATAGCTATAAATTGCTAGGTAGTAAGTATAACTAGAATTGGTTTAAAAGGTATATCCTGCTTCTTTGATAGTCCTCCACTCCCAGCCCCCATTCTAGCTGACAAAGAGTCAGAAACAGATCAAACAATTGATCCCGACTAAAATAAAAATAAAAATAAAAAAAGCCCAAACAAATATAGGATGAGGTGGTATTAACTATCGATTTCACCCCATAGTGCGAAGCAAATGAGGTGGAGGAATAGTTACTGAAGCCACGAGGGTTTTGAGATAATTCAAGAGCCAAAACAAATATAAGGAGCTCAACTTTTGTTAAGTATACCTCTATAATACAAAAGTCAGGGTATGGATATGAATGGTAACGACTTACTTTTTTTTTTTTTTTCTTAACCAAAAGTCAAATCATATGAATGGAACTCTTTTGAATGAAGTGTGGAGATTGGCAAAAAGTTTATGGATTGTGCATATACAACATATTTAATTTTAATTGATAAATTTGCTTTCCATCTTTGTCAACTTACTTGCAAAGCGCAATCCACGTAACTTGCAGGTTCAGCACTACAGCGTTTACAGCCACAATTGAACTGGTACTTCATCCATAACATATACTGCCTCATCTTCTGCAAAAGATGCAAGTAGGCAAATCAATAATCGGTGAAAATGATTCAAAGTACAAATATAAAAGACATCAGGAATTCATAAAAAAAAAAATTAGGATTATAAACAAGACGAGAATAGCCAAACAAGTCAATATTTACCATCCTTCTATACGTGGAATTTGAAACAAGACAAATATTATTGAAACTATATTCCAGAAATTGTAGATAAGAAAAGGTCATACATACGATTTCATTATATTTATGTGTGTGTCTGTGTGTGGAAAAGCACACTAGGTCAATGAAGAATAGAGTCACGTCTATTTTATATTACAAGAGTTTTGGTTTTCCAGGATTCCATGGCATGCAGCAGCAGCAGTTCAGACTCAAAGTGCAAATTGGTTAATGTTCTGTTTTATATACATATCTCTGGGCATGTTATACACTGAAGACATAAAAAATGCCATTCAAACAATGAACACATAAGTCATTTCTGAACATGGAATGAAATCGGACATTTTAGAGAATCAATGGATGACAAACAAAACAAGATCATGATAACAATTTAAGCACCCTAGGACTAGGAGTATATGCTGTGATCAGGCCAAGGGGTATGTGGAACAAGAAGAGGAGTATATAAATCAGTATAATGTTTCTTAGCCTTACCTAATAGACAAATACGATACCCGGAAACAATATGAGCAACATCCCTTTTCAATGCATGGCAATAAAACCTATCTCCCTAAGGTACTATTATCTCTAGTGGCTAGTAAAATGTCTAGCAACACATCTGACATGTAATTCACATACCAAAAGATCTCCTTGAAGTACGACAAATACACAAATTAATTGTTCTTGAAAAGACAAAAGAACCCTGTCCTCAACAAGAAAATTCTCAATATCTCTATATTGGCTATTGAAGAGGTGTTTAAAGGACAGTTATGAAATTCATCCTTGAGTAGCTCATAAATCATATCACTCTAAGTTTAAAAAAAGCTGAGAAATGTTAAAAGAGGATTCAGAACCTTCATAACCCAAAATTCAATTAATGTAAACGTATTTATTAATTTAACTTCAATGATTTCTTAGATACCTGTATGATTGTGAAATTAATTTACATAGTGTTTTTTGTTCTTAAAATCTGCACCACTATTAAGGAAAAGAATCCACAAAACATGGCGATCTCCACATAAAAAAGTTTAGATGCTCCACTGTATAAAAGAAAATGGACTTTCGGAGGAGGTCGGGGGGCGGTGATGGTGGTAGGGTGATAGATTTGGGAAAAAAACAAACTAAAAATACGAAAACAAGTAGCTTATTACATGATATACTTGAACATGCATCCAACCTTAGACTGAAACACATCCGTGTATGCAATTGTCACGCCCTCTCCTTCTTTAATAGCTTTTATACTCCTAACTATTACTCTTGGGCCATATGCCTCTTTTCCTACATTACCCACAAAATAATATTCACATATAATTATTGATTCGCAGAACTATAAGCAATAACTATGAAATCATAGTTAACTTTCAACATAATCAAAATTACCTTCTATTAATATCTCATTTCCATTTTCCATTGTAGACAGAGAAATCCTCGATCGCAAGTCATCTGCATGTTCTGGCCCCGTCAAAAACCGGTACCAAGCATTGGGAGAGCAGCTATGATTAAACCAAGAAAACATGGTTCCATAAACAGCAACTCCTACACTGCATCCACTCTTGTCTAGCACCTCCGCAGCATTTGTTAGCACCAAACACAAAACCATCTCCTCCACCACATACTCCTTTGGCGATACCACATTTACATTAACGTCACTGCCGTGCATCCTCCTAGCCATTGCCATCAGCTTTGCTCCCTTCCTTATCCTCTTCAAAAAGGCGTCCTTCTCACTGGAATTCTTCACGTTTTCATCTGGGTCCTCCCCATTTCCAGTTTCTTGTAAATAGTCGTTCTTATCTTCTTGAAATATCAACCTTTCACGGTTGGTCATCAGACCGGCAATTCTCTCCCAAGCTCCGTCATCTTGATTCCAATTTTTCATATCTACATTAGGCTGTTCTTTTCTCTCAAAATATTCATCTGGGCCTTCCTTATTCTCAGTTTCTTGAAACGGGAGATGGTTATCATTGTTCTCTAAGCCTGACATTCTTCGCAAATCCCTCTCTTGTTCGAATTTGTGAAGAAGGCGAAGGGAGAGGCGGAGATTGGAGGAGTCTGGCCACTCGGAGGAAGGCTTTTTGTGGAGACGGGAAAGCAGTTGCCCTTCTGCGGAGGAGAAGTGGAGCGAAGAATCAAGGGACGAGCACCGAGGCGAACAGTAGAAAAGAGTGGGAGTGCCATCGGGGACATGTTGGGAAAATTGGGAGACGGGCGGGATAAGAAGATCAAATGGTTGGGTTGGCAGAAGGGAGAAACAGGCGGCGCAGTGGGTGGAGAGGGTTGAATTGTGGAGGGCGGCGGCTAGGGGCGGCAGAGGTGGCACGAGGTCTTTGCCTATTGGTATATCTTCAGTTGCTTGTCTTTGCATTTTCAGGCTTGAAAGTGAGTTAAACGTGAGTTAAACGTTTCATTAGCCGCTGAACTTAAGTCACTGGACTTTATCAAACGTATTGGAATAAAGGGGAAAAACTCGACAACTTTTATTCAAAGAAATGAGCTTTACATCCGGTTATTACGTTTCAATAGCTACCGAACTTTGCATCACTTTACTCACTGAACTTTATCAAACATATTGGAATAAAGGGGAAAAACTTGAAAACTTTTATTCAAATGAAATGAACTTTACATCCGGTTATAAATAGACTGTAAACCGACTAATTTTAACAAACTAACTAACTTGTTACAAGCCTATACAACTTTGACACATGTAACTAACAAAACTAACATCTAGCTATGCAATTTAACTGTTCCAGTTAGCTAGCTTGCATCTGCATTCTAGCTTGCATCCGATTATCTTCCACCTTCCAGCTCGCTTTTATTCTATTACGCCCCCTCAAGATGAGCTGTGAGGATTGATAATGGAAATCTTAGACATCAAAGAAAATAGAAGATTAGCAGGTAAAGGTGGAGTAAAAATGTCAACAAATTGATGTTGGGTACAAATGTGAAGCAATTTGACAAAACCATCAGTGATTTTATATCGAATGAAGTGACAATCTATTTCTATGTGTTTTGTTCTTTCGTGAAATATGGGATTGGTGGCAATGTGCATAGCGGCTTGATTATCACAAAATATTAGAGCAAGAGCAGGATGTCACGAGACTAGATTTCTTACACTAGAAAAACTAGACATCGTGTGGCCTTAACGCAACACAATTCTCGTCCCTACGAGAAAGCGCTAAGTCAGCCTTTCGACGCCCCCAAAATGATTCAACCTTGTAGGCTAAATCAAGACAAACTTTGAGTA